TTTATATAATTATTTCGATGGTACAAAATTATTTTTAATAATAATAATAAAATTATTTTCAGATTTATATTTCAATGTATCTATGTTAAAAAATAATAAATAAAATTGTGTATCTTTATGATTTAATGTATCTCGGAATGGAAAAGACTTCATAGTATATCGTTATCACAGCGTAAGAAAAACACTCACTCTCTCTCTCGCATTGATCATTCGCAAGTAAAATCAAACACCGACTTTCGCCGGATTCCTTCGAATCTTGCAGACGCGAAATACTCCATCGGCCTCGTCTACGCCTGTTTATTCTCAATTTACCGCGCCGAGAGGTGGAAATCGTGGCACGAGTTTACCGTGCAATTTTCGATCCTTTTCTCGACCGTCGTCGTCCCACCATCCACCGCTGCCCCCTTCTTTCGCCCATCTACTCTCGTCGCAACAGCCTGCAGCAACACTCCCGTCCGTCACCCTCCATTATTTACCACTTCGAAACGTCGAAGATGCTTCTTTCCACTCCAGTGCTCGAAAAATTTCATCCGCAGTCTCTCTAGTCTTGGCACAAGCGCGCCGAGTTCATGAAATTCGGGGACGATCTTAAATTGCTACGATGTATTCGGGAATTCTCCGAGTGTCCTGTAGATGATTCGCAATTCGCGCTGTAAATCGAATTGCAAATATCGTAGTGCAATCGATATAATTCACTGTAAGGCCGAGCAAATAAAAATTCTTCGTTAAATAAAGATACTTATCTGTTCAACAAAATTGCAGTCTCTTCTCTCTGCTTCAAAGTTTTATTGAAATAATTAATAATAAAGAGATTACATCGAACTTAACTTAAAATCGCTTTATCTCATCCTCATAATCTTTAACGTTATCCCAGTTGCCATTTTTTTCGATAGCAAACTATTCCGTGAGTTTCTTCGAAAATCCCCACAATCTTCTTCCTTATATAATCCAATAGTTCAGCATGATAAAGATCGCGGGATAGCGAGGAAAGTATGCCGTCCACGTGCAAAGGAGCTACGAGCAGCGCAACCCTCCATCCCCAAATATAGAGGAGAAGAAAGACCGAGAGTTGCGAGAATGCGCGGGGAAAGAAGAGTGTACACTTCGTCGCGCTGCCTCGCTCACATGTCGAAGTTATGAAAATTAATAAGAAAAATTGCCCATAAATTCGACGTCTCCTTCGCAAACGCGCATCCCCTGTGCGGGCCAGGCAATAAAATTAGAATTATGTCGCAGCGGCTCGCGCGCCTTTCCCTTTTCCCTTTTCCCCGAGACACCCCCTTTTCATGGCCAGACAACAACTTCGTACGAGGCGAGCATACCGACAGCCAGGAGTTGATAGCGTTTGTTAACGGTGCCGGAATGTGTCTCCTGCTCCCGCGGTTCTTAGCATATATGAATTACCCGCCAAGATTACATCCATGCCTTACATCTAGGCCGTTCCTCCGTTGGATGGAAGAACCTATGGTTATTAAATTCTGAGAGCACCTCGAATCTTCCTCTTCCCCCTTTTCTCTTTTCGTCATCTCGCGATCTCGCGCAGAGGTTGACTTATCACTGCGACAATGCCGTGCAGAAAGAAAGCGAGTTTCGCTAGTGAATGGTTCAAGGTTCGGCGCAAAGGGATGCAACCAGGAATAAGATGCACAAGAATTTTTATGAATTTTTTTCATCGCACTCCAGCTCAGTTGTAAAAAGAGGAAAAAATGTGTGGCAAAAAATGTATAGCTTGATCGAAGTGAAGACGATGAAGTTCTTTTCCTTCTTTTCTTTCTTCAGGTTACTTATGGAATTGGCGAATTTTTCTGCTCCCTCGAGCTTTGGTTTACTTTTAATACAAGCTGATTTTTAAGCGATCACAATCACTAATTTTCCTCTTCTGTTTCAAGTTTAATTGAGCGTCGTTTTATATAAAGATAAAGTTGCTGCCTCAAGCTTAACTCTTTAATGAACAATTACACAATTACACAAAAATAATTATTAAGAACAATAAAAACAATAAAAAGTAATTACTAAATACTTATCTACATATTTAAAAATCATGTAAAAATTTATTATTTTAACATAGAATACAATATTACTATTATTATATGTATTTTACGAAAATTTTATTAAATATTCCATCAGTATTATATGTCTGTAGTAGCCTAAATATAAAAATTAATTCGCCGGTAATGAGGATCTTTAAAGGCACTATTAATATTTTGGCACTATGAATTTTTATAGAAATTTAAATTTCTGTAAAAAATAAGTAAAATACAATCCCGACTTTTATAATGATAAAAACTCGTTGTTAAATCAAAGAACTGGAAACTCGTTGTTAAAACTGTGATAAGTACACCAGACATTTTTTTCAGATTTTTATATAATCCGAAACAATAAAAAAAGTTGCTTCTCGACGGCTCTTTTTACTGACGGAAGAGTTAAAATTCATGTTGCTTATAAACAATATTTTTTTCGCGATAATTCGATTTACGGAGGCCATTAATAGTGAATTCTATATCATATCTTTCCTTTTCAGTCTGTTTTAATAGTGAATCTTATGTTACATCTTTCCTTTTCAGTCTGTTTTCTTTCATTCTCGATTTGCAAGTGTTTATACACGCCTTTCTGTAACTATGAAATCTCATTCCAGATGGAAATCATGAACGTCGGTGGCGTCGACGACAAAAATACATACGTCAGTCAGAGAGTAGTCGCTGTTGTATATGCGGCGACCACAATCCCACCGTCGTATGTGCATATATGCGTACAATAATAGCGTACGGCGGACGCGTTCGACGCGACGGATCGAATCGATGACGAGCTGCCAATCGTGGAACGGCAATTTAGCCACGAAACGAGGAACGAGTCAGTTGCCTGCGACCGCGAATAATCTCGACCGTAGTAGATCCTCCGCGATCCATGAGCGTGTGTCTACCTATACCGCGGCAATAATCGAAAATCGCCGTTCCATCGACGAGGCCTTCATTTCAAGGGTGGAAACATCCCTCTGCACGCTTTTCCCCGATTGTTGTTTCGTACTGACGAAGCTATTAACTTTGACTATCAAAACAATTTGCGCATCATATCTCGGCGTCATCGAAACAGCGTAATCATTTCGCAGCAGAATCATGTTTGGTCTCTTTTTTTTTAACCCTCATATTAATAGAACATATATCGCGAGACTTTTCTTTGCGTTATTGTTGGGATGATATATTTCAGCTTTCGCATCCATAACAATCAAAATGAAAAAAAATAATTGAAAATGGAAGAAAAATATTTTTATTGAAAAATACAAATTTCGATAGTTATTGTTTTCTCCATGGAAATCATGCAGAGGCTATAAAGATCCAAGAGGATTTCTTTAAAAAGAAATATAAAAAACAAAATGTGTGACGTGTAAAAACAAACTGTTTAGGATTGAAAATCGTTTTAAGGGAAAATACATTGAAGGTTTAGGAGATTTTGAGGAGCTTATCTTGATGGCAATCTTATCTTGTTAGCGCTAAGGAAAGAAAAGCGAAATGTTTGTCGAGAAATAGAAGGAGTGTTAGTCCCCGCTTTCCTTAGTGTATTAATAATGAGGTTAAGAGGAAAAAGTCTAAAAGATATTGTTCTCTCCAGCAGACGATCCTCAGATAGCAAGATTCTCGAGGTATCTCTTCTCATTTCCGCGACTCAGATTATCCGTCGAAATAAACGTTTTACCTTGCACACTATGGATCATCCTCCAATGACAGCTCACGGCGATTAAAATTGAACGTAGGAGATAAAGCCGGCAATTACGAAGTACTTCCTCGATATATCATTTATGAACTTCTACGAGACCGGAAATTAAAACTAGATAGATTCTACAGATGTGACTTTGCTCTTAATATTTATCTGTTCCGTGGACAATTAATCGTATTAAATTGTTCCGTAATTGCGCCTCCGATTTTATTCTCATACAGCAAAGATTATTTCAACAATATTACAGTAATGCTTTGCAAACAATGTTTACAGCAATGTTGCTGCAAGCTTCTGTGCTGTATGAGTTCTTACTTATTAATTGAGAAATGTACCGAGGATGTATAACGGCATGTAAATGTCTTCATAATGGAATGTAGATGTCTGAATCAATTTAGGAGATTTATCAGAAAGCACACAAATCCGATATCTCTCTTGGGTCTTGCATTTCTCTCTTATGTAGGTGTCAAACAATCAGCACTTTCCGTGCGAGGGAAAAATCAACATTCTCGTGTTCGCCGCATGCATGGTGATGATGTTAAAAGCGTGACGAACATAACACTGAGATGATAAAGTCGTCCATCGCGGCGCGGTAACATGTTTTCTCTCACATATTCATTAGTCGCATTAGAGTTTTCTCCTCGTGGCGTTTACGCGCATAAATCGCTCGTCACTGGGCGGTGTTTGCAAAGTAAAAAGGGCGGTGGCGCAAATTAAAAAAAAAAGAGAGGAGACTAGGGGTTGTTTGCTCGCGATCGCTTACAAAATGCGCGGTGGTATATGCAAGCGGCACTGCGGGAAATCAGCTTTGTCGGCATATCGGGTTTCTGCCGTAAAAGCGTGCCAAATTCGGCGTCGATTCGCTTTGAGGTACAGGTGCGGCAATGACGTTTAATAAATTCGCCGAGAAATTAACGTGCAACGTTGCCCCAGCCGCTCGAAGCGTCAGCGGCGCGCCACGGCTGTCGTTTTCCTCGCTTTTCCTTCGAGCTTGACAGCCAAATTAAATTGGCAGAACTCGCGGACGGCGCTTTTCGCCGCACTTTTGATAAGGTACCCGCCGATAAAGCCGACAAATTGATTCGTCGGGGGAGGAAAGCCAGCTTTCCTCTGGCAGCATGCTAATTAATTTTTACACCAGATGTATTTACCGAGAAAATATTCGCGCAAGAGACAGACACGATTAAAGTTTTGTAAAAAAAATATATTACTCTTAATTGAAGATTTTTAACAAGATTCGCGCGATAATTTCTGCGCGTAGCAAAAATACCGCTGCTAAGAACTCTATTTCCTAACGAATACGTTTTACTCGTTTTCACTCACATCTCCCAAGCTCCATCGCTCTTCCTTCGCTAAGGCTGTTAAAAAGCCCGTAATGCACGCATATTATTCCGCACTGACCATCCAGGGCTTTCGCATTCGAGACGAGATCCGGGACTGCGCTACTAGGTAGAATCGCTTAGCTACTGTAGCACTCTCAATTTTCCCAAGCAGCAGCCCGTCTCGGGAAAGAGCATCCGGTCGCCGATAACGAATTCGTTTGCGAGTTACCGCTACGCATATAACGATTATTCAAATCGTCTTCTCCGTGAAACGTCAGGAGCTTCGCGGTATTGAAGGATCCTCCAGTGTCGCTCGCGTGAACGATGATGATGAGGGATGCAGGGGGTAAGACGAGAGAGTAAGACTCAGTCGAGAAGGGCGCAGCAGCTCCCACCTACCTACCTACTCTGACTGAGTATCAACCGATCTGCGGTAGGCGACCCAGGCCATTAGGCAAAGCCTATTGCCATCCTTGCCCAACTTGGATCGTATCTCTCTCCTTTTATCCATAACACTTGCCACCCTACTGTCGCTTCCACGCCGCGCCGTCTCGACGCCTTAACTGAAAAGGGTAAAGCACGTGTTCCCGCGGGATGCTTTTTGCACCCTCGACAGCGGGGATCGTCGGAGGTTTCGCGAGCCTGCTAAGTCCGCTGCCGCAATCCGCGGCACGTGCGTTTCCAAGACTCATCCCCCTTCTTTGAAAGACACGACACGACGTCGTCTCTGTCAGGGCCTCGTATCAGAGTCCTTTTAGTTCGTTTACTTGACTCTTTCTCTCTCATATCTCGCCTAGCTCTGTCGCGAGTAATTTCGATGCTCATGCCCAGGGTCGTTCGGTGCCTCTTGCTTCAGGTCGAAGGATTTGACGCCGCGCGTTCAGATAATTTGCAGCGCTTCGAGGTACGCGCAGCCGAGGTTCATGCTTTCGCTTTAATACCTCCGTTGTGCGTATGGTTCGTCCTATGCATTATGAAGGAGCCAATGCACGAGAGAGCTCTGTACCGTGATCTAGAAAGGAGAGATTCTCTGGAATAAAGTTTGGAAGCTGATTTTCCATAAAATTTTTAATCATACATTAATTAAAAAAACATTTAATCAGAGTAGAATTTACAACCCTCTAAAGAAGGAAGATTAATCGACGAAAATTAAGACAACGCAAATAGATGTGCAGACTAAAGCAATTTAATTTGTTGCTTAAAAATTTGATGCTCGTTTCAAATATCTACATTAAATTAATTAATTTTTAATCAAGCAAAACATATATTATGTGTTATTTGAAACTTATCAGATTTTGTAAACTGCATAACGAACATCATTAACAATCTTATTTTGGCTGTGTACAAAAAGCGATAATGAGATAGAATAATTGACAACGGTGACGAATGCACGAAGTAGTAACGAACATTACGGGTCAGACAGCGTCGATGGTTCTAATTGAATTTTGTTTTGAGAGTTCGATGCCATAGGTAATTCTCGTTAGGCTGTCTACTTTTTTGTTATTCACGGCAGACATTTTCGGGAAGGGCCACGCCCGTCTCCGGATTCAATCCCGTTCAAATTTCCGGTCTCGAGGCGCCTAAAGGAATTAGCATTCGATCTCGCCGTCAATCACGACGGAGCTGTAGGACTCATGGGAGTCGGCATAGTGTCCAGCGGAAAATTCTCATCATTGTGTCTTGCTCTCTTTGAGGTAGTGGCGATATCTCCTATATGTTTCTACGGCTTTACTCTCCATACGCGTATTAATTAAACAGAAATCGGAGCAAAAATAGAGCAAAAAAGGAAATTCCCGATTCGAATACCAGCGGCAGTGTAATCTTCGAGGCGGCTCTCATTCGCCTCGAATTTCGGCGGATTTACGACGCGGTGGTGGATTATTAAAT